CGCGCTCTACTCGGAGCTCTACGGGGGCCCCCGCGCCATCTCGCTTTCCCCCTCGCCCTTCCATCGTTCCTTCTTCCACTCGTCATCATCTCCTCTCGTATCCACCCTATCGGGCTCGCTCGCTGCCTTCGCGATCTCGTTTTCACTCTCTCTTCTTCCTCTTTCAGTATCCTTCCCCCGCTTCATCCCTCCGCTCGCGGTGGCTCTTTTCTCTCTCTCTCCCTCTTTCTCTTTCTCCCTGCCCTTTTCCAAATACACATCTTTGCCCTCGTCACTCGCCCTTTCTCTATGCGCAGTGTTTCTCCTTCGTTTCTATCTTACTCTCTTCAGCTGATACTCTCTTTCTTTATCTCGCTTTTTCCTCGTTTTTTCTCTCTTCTTCTCTCTTTTGCCGCTCTCTACCTACTCTATTAACACGCGCGCAAGGGAAAAGAAGGAGAAAGAATGTATGCTTGTGCGTATCTATGTGTGTTTGTGTGTATATACGTGCGCACGTATTTTGGAGGGAGTAGTACCATCTAGCATAGCAACTGCTGTTTCTGCATTTCTTCGCAACGCGCCCCATACGAGATGCCGGTATATTTTAAGCCTATAACGGGTGTCCCGTCGCCCGAAACGAAGAGAGCTTGAGTTTTCCCGGAAGTTTGCGAACCATTTCGGAGCCGCGACGACTCCTCTCGTCGTTTAAGAAAGTTTTCGTACATATCATGCGTCAATTAATTCACTCAGATACCGAAGTACGCGTCATTAGTTTTCAGATTAAAGCTTTCGAAGAAATAAATTTATTTACGCAAAACAAAAAACATTTACTATCTTTTCAGAAATAATAAATTTTTGTCAGGTAAAATGTCGTGTAATAATTGAGAAGATCAATAGAGATTAATATTGAATTAATGCATTATTTATAATCGTATAATTTTATATGAAAATATTTGAACTAGAAAAGCTCAACAAGAGCTATATAGTATATATTAATTTTAATAGTAATAATTTCATTTAGTAGTAGTAGTAATTTCATGTATTTTATCAAATCGCATATATTTTTATGTGTTATGTGAAAAATATTACAAAAGTCAATGATCGCTCATTTAACATTGTTTATTCTTAATTCAGATATTTGAATACTGACAACTCTGTAAAATCTGTTAATATAATCATGCTCTGCCAATTACGTGATTCAAGTACATTATTGATACTTTATCTTTTTATTGTCAATAGAAATGAAAATTTCCGTTTTACTACCTTATATATTATTATTACCATTGTAATTAGTATTGTTATTATTCTCGTCGATGCTATCATTTTGTAGCATCATCGGGTCGCTTGTCAAATTCCGCTTGTAGGGAAAAAAAGGGCTGGCAGAGAGCAAGGCAGAGGAGGAGGGGAGGTAGGGTAAGAGGGTAAAGGGAGGGCACGCACTCTAAGGAGACCTTGAAGGCTGCTGGCCGGGTGCCCAGGTCTAGTGCTGACCCACTATAAAGGCACTTGCCATCCTGCTCGTTCGTCAAGATGTGCCGCTAGCAACCTCTCCCTCGGGAGTGGAGCGCCTGCTAACCTACTACTCTCCTGCTTCTCTCTCTCTCTCTCTCTCTCTCTTTTCGTTCACCGCATTTATACAATACATACACCGGCTCGCGAGACTCGACTCCGAAACCCGCTTTCAGACCCCGGACCACGCGCGCTCTACTCGGAGCTCTACGGGGGCCCCCGCGCCATCTCGCTTTCCCCCTCGCCCTTCCATCGTTCCTTCTTCCACTCGTCATCATCTCCTCTCGTATCCACCCTATCGGGCTCGCTCGCTGCCTTCGCGATCTCGTTTTCACTCTCTCTTCTTCCTCTTTCAGTATCCTTCCCCCGCTTCATCCCTCCGCTCGCGGTGGCTCTTTTCTCTCTCTCTCCCTCTTTCTCTTTCTCCCTGCCCTTTTCCAAATACACATCTTTGCCCTCGTCACTCGCCCTTTCTCTATGCGCAGTGTTTCTCCTTCGTTTCTATCTTACTCTCTTCAGCTGATACTCTCTTTCTTTATCTCGCTTTTTCCTCGTTTTTTCTCTCTTCTTCTCTCTTTTGCCGCTCTCTACCTACTCTATTAACACGCGCGCAAGGGAAAAGAAGGAGAAAGAATGTATGCTTGTGCGTATCTATGTGTGTTTGTGTGTATATACGTGCGCAAGTATTTTGGAGGGAGTAGTACCATCTAGCATAGCAACTGCTGTTTCTGCATTTCTTCGCAACGCGCCCCATACGAGATGCCGGTATATTTTAAGCCTATAACGGGTGTCCCGTCGCCCGAAACGAAGAGAGCTTGAGTTTTCCCGGAAGTTTGCGAACCATTTCGGAGCCGCGACGACTCCTCTCGTCGTTTAAGAAAGTTTTCGTACATATCATGCGTCAATTAATTCACTCAGATACCGAAGTACGCGTCATTAGTTTTCAGATTAAAGCTTTCGAAGAAATAAATTTATTTACGCAAAACAAAAAACATTTACTATCTTTTCAGAAATAATAAATTTTTGTCAGGTAAAATGTCGTGTAATAATTGAGAAGATCAATAGAGATTAATATTGAATTAATGCATTATTTATAATCGTATAATTTTATATGAAAATATTTGAACTAGAAAAGCTCAACAAGAGCTATATAGTATATATTAATTTTAATAGTAATAATTTCATTTAGTAGTAGTAGTAATTTCATGTATTTTATCAAATCGCATATATTTTTATGTGTTATGTGAAAAATATTACAAAAGTCAATGATCGCTCATTTAACATTGTTTATTCTTAATTCAGATATTTGAATACTGACAACTCTGTAAAATCTGTTAATATAATCATGCTCTGCCAATTACGTGATTCAAGTACATTATTGATACTTTATCTTTTTATTGTCAATAGAAATGAAAATTTCCGTTTTACTACCTTATATATTATTATTACCATTGTAATTAGTATTGTTATTATTCTCGTCGATGCTATCATTTTGTAGCATCATCGGGTCGCTTGTCAAATTCCGCTTTAGCCAGTTTTTATGATGACAAAGTTAACCCCGCCAGTGCAATCTCGTCCCATCTTTACGGCACGTGAAATCGGGCGTAAAATACGCGGCGTATTTAACGCGGCATAAGAATCGAATTAAAGCCTCGTCGGGAGATGTATCCTAGCTCTTCTCTCTTTCTCTCTCTTTCCTTTCTCTTTCTCTCGCCTATCGCCGAATTGGCTTTCGCATGAAACCTGTTGGCTACGCGGTCTCTCGAGCACACTCGTCTCTATATATATAGGTACACTTACGAATATTATTACTGCTGGTCAACTCTGGCGAGGGGAGAGACCTGACGCGAAACATACTAAGTAGCTATTTAGATGCTACTCCTCTTTTTCCTCCCGTCTATCTATCTCTCTTTATCTCTCACGCTGACGAGAAGGAGAGGGACACGCGAATGCGCCATTTTTCTGCTACCTCATTCTCCTTGTTCCATTTCATATTCGTATTTTTGATTCATTCGCATTCTCTCAAGCCAGCTCGTCCAGCCGCGTTATACATATATATTTTATTGCGTGTGATGTGTATATGTGTATTGAGCGCAGCATCTAATAAACTCTAGTTTGCCCCACTCGATCCACATTCTTGTACCGCAAAAAAAAATCTAATCTTTATTTATAACTAATAAAATTTTGTTTCGAAAGAGAGAAAACGTTTATAATTGAGAAAACATATCTAGTTACTTGCACAAACTTATAATTTGTTAGTTTGTAGTTATATAAAAAACATTTTATTATATATATAATCTACAATGTTGAGAATTTATAATTTTAACAATACTTGTTGATTGATATTTTATATATCGCTTTTTTCTGATCAATTCTGATCAATTAATTAAACGCTTATAAACTAATCGTGTTTGAAAAGGGGGAAATGATACTTTATATTGGATAATTAACAATGTAATTATATAATTGATCGATAATACAACAACGCGAATACCAAGAGCGACGAACGAAGCGATTAGTTTTGATTTTGACGAGACGATTGAAATCGCAAGAGTTCCAATATGCCTGGCATTCGAACCTCAAGGGATTCCACTTAACGAGCGCTTATAGTCGAACGGCCGCTCGACGCGCGAGAATGATTCGCGAATTCTATTCTGCTCGCGATTCGCGCGGCGAAGAACCGGTCATGAGAAATTAGATGGGCTTGACCGGTAAACGACACCTGGCACGTAAGAAACGAAAGGAAATACGTGCACGCCGTGTATATATCCACGCTATCTCTCCCTCTCCCTCTCTCTCTCTCTCTCTCTCTCTCTTTGCTTTTTTTCTAACCATCTCTTCCCTTTCTCCGTCTTTGTCGCGAGCGCCGAAATGTCCGACGGTTCACATAACCTTTTGATCCTGATTAGAATATGAGTGAGGTTGTAGCCGGTGATAGCTTCTCGGTCGGCTTGATGTCCAGGCCGCGATTTTTGCGCCGTTACCGAACACGTGCGATACCGGAACCCGGAAGCGACCAGGCGCGGAACCGGTGTGCGCTGCGTCCGGCCAGTGTGTTTTTCCATGGGAAAAGCCTCCTCGTCTCTCCTCCGTTTCGTCGTCCCCCGGGGTCAGAGGTCGCGGCTCAAACAGGTTGTACGCTGTGACCCAATGATCCAATTCTGCCGTTCGACTTGAGAGACACGCATGAGAAAATCACGGCGGAAAGACTCAAGTAGTCGCAATCTCGTGGAACTTTATGCGCGACGAGATTATAGTTGGAAAATCGGAAACGAAATGTGTCATTTTATTGCAATGTAACGAAGTAGCATTGGAAGTTAAAAAACAAATAGTGCTCAGATTATAAAACAGAATTATCGTATCATAAGATTAATAAAAGAACAATATTTCCTGAATAGTCTTAGAGTCATTTATGAGAGATTGATTGGTAAATTGAATCAATGAGAAAAAAGATTTCCTGCACCACTTTAAGAACGCATCTAAAAATTTGCTCTTTCATTTTTTCGTTGCAGGATATACCTATCTCGGATCGTCGCTCGTCGTAGAACCATCCGTAGCTAGCTCGGCGAAGAAACGGTAAGTCAACAAAATTTCTCTCTTAAGAGTATGCAGACGAAAAAGCATGACTTTTGAATGATGCGATAATAGATTTAAACGAACAAAGAGCCACGAGTGCCGCTTTTTCAATTCCAGATATTTTCGTAATTTTTTTTATAAAAAGAAAAATAGAAGAAAAATAATAATCACGTCGCACACAATTATTCTGACAATTAAATTAAAATTAATGGCCACGATTAGTGTAATATGTCTCTACAGAGATCGCGAGAAGAATTACGAGAGGAATGAAAATCTCTTACTTTTATTCTTTTATAAATTCGTAAATGAAAATTATCATCGCGGTACATTATCGCTATTTTATTTCATTTCATCGATATCTCTTGTTTCCCTCTTTCTCTCTCTAATATATCTGCCGATGGCGCGGATCGCGTGTGACAATGAAAAATTTTGATCGCGTGCGGCGCGTGATATATATTTATATATCGTTGCTCGCTCTCAGTCATCGGAATTAATAAAGTCGCTAAACCGTCGGCCACTTAACTGATCGTCGTAAATTTTGCGCGATTTTATTTAATAATAATATTTGATCGTTAAGTCCAACGACTACCGGGGACCGTTCTCGCTAATACGCGTGCCGATCGCACGTCTCTCTCACTTGGAACTTTGCTTAATTTAATTTCTCTTTCTCTCTCTCTCTCTTTTCCTTTGCCCGCGCGCGCATACGGAACTTCAAAAGGTTCGTTAACCCGGGCTTCGTAGCTCGATCGGAGAGAGATTCGGGCAAGCGCGCGTAATACCGCGCGTAACAAGGTGCATAATTGGCCGCACGTGAGTAAAACGCGCGCGTGCGCGCGTGCAGAGGAGAGTTTCAACTCTCGAACGTGCGCGAAACGTGCTCGGGCAAAAATCGCCGTGGATTAAATCGCCCGCAGTGGAACTCATTCCGCGCCCCCGTCATCTTTGCTCGAATCCGATCGGGGGATTCGATCGTAGATTTGTTTTTCTTATCCGAATTTTTCTCGGAGAGAGAGATGACGAGGAGAGAGAAAGATATTTGCCGTACGGAATGTACGGAACGATTTTTTTACCTTAGAGCGGATCTTCTAATATCTATGTAAATTTAACGTCGATCGGCAAGGATTGAAAGAGGGGAAACATGCCTTGTAACAAAGGCAGAGACTTTAAAGAAGTTTTACTATGCTTAGAAAATCATTTAGAAACTTTTGCACGATGTGTATTTTAAATATAAAAAATCACTATATATGTATAAAAAAATTTATATCTTTTATTAAAATAAAAAATTCTATTTAATTAATATCTAACTTATTATTAAAATAGACTTTGAAGATCTTTCGTTACACGTTAAATCCCGAAGATTATGAATCCTTGAAGTTGACTAATTTTTTAATCAAACGATTCCATGATTACGATTAAACATATTGAAAATATTGTACATATTTCTTTGAATGAAAACGACAAATATATAATCCGATATTGTGGAATTTTCTACAAAAATTTATGAAAATTATGTAACTTACATTAACGCAAGAAAGGGAAGGTCCAAAAATATGTTTGACTTGACGTAAATGGAATAATTTGGATATGCAGTCATATGTCGCCAGTTCCGTAGCATTGTGTGTTTATATTATTGTGCATGAAAAAGAAAAAAAATACTTGGAGCTATATTTATACATTTCACTTGTTCTCTCTTTACATGCTCACGTATACACGGATCGATGGTACGTATCTTTATTGTAAATAGCAGCAGGGTTTCACGTGCGTCGCGCTGATAACGGAACGCCGAATCGCGATATCATCGTCAGTCCGTTATCATAAAACGGTCGGCATTTTCGTGTGTCGTGAATGACGAGTTTTCATACTTTGTACGATAAGTTGCTTGTTTGGCGAGACAATAATTATAGATATAACCCTTTTGTTCTTTCCTATTGAATATCTTGTATAATACATGTAGCATAATCTGTGTATCGTTGCTATTGCAAGCAATATAATATATAACTTTTGTATATAATATAGAAATTTACTAAATTTTTATAATATATATATATATATAATATATGGAAATGCGCGATTTAGTCACTTTTGCAGACACTCCAGATTTTTTCATAGAAGCGTTTTAGCAATCAAAATTTATATATAATTCATATAAATATATTAAAATACTTTATCTAGATTTTGGGATTAAAAAAAATCAAGATATAACCGTTTTGAATGACTTATTTAATGCAAAGATCCACATATAATATTATTTTTTCAATCCAATAAAACTATTCGTTGCACAATTCTCTCTCCCATTTCCACTAAATTATTGAAATAATTTATTAAACTATCTAAATAAATAATTTTTCTCTGCTTACTTACACCTCTTTTTGTTTGTGCAAGAGTAGAATAATACTCGTAAAAATTTGCACACAACAATAATCTTAGAAACAACTCGCCGAGGAGGCTCCTTTTCCAATAAATAAATAAAAATACGATGTTATACTGAAAGGATTATTAACCCAAATACTCGAGAGACGCGACACGTTTTTGCGTAGCGAACTTTGGGAGCCTCTGCAGCAGCCTCTTTCCCGAGACGGCGGGCGATTTAGGAAAGAAAAAAAAATGTGACACCTGCCTTCTGCTCGCGAGGCGGCAGGCTGCGCTCTTTCGCTCGTGCCACAACTGCAATCTGTTATTTCGCCATCTCCTGCCCGCTCACGCGCTCGCACTTTCCGTTTCTCTCTCCATCCTCTCATCCCTTACGCGCCGCCAGTTTCCTCCTTCTCCTCCTCCTCCTCCTCCTGCTTCTCGCCCAGCTTAAAGCGGTCTTATCGATGCCTCGGAAACGTGCCGTCGCATAAGCCGAGGATTCGACCAAATTCAATATACTCGACCGAAGATAACGCCAATTAAAGAAAGGAAACGAAGAGCGAATGATAAATAACCGAACGTAACGGACAATGTATAATATGCGTGTATTTAGCTGTGCAGTTGCATCGTTTATCATGTATTTATTAATGGACACAAAAGATGGGCACATTCGATACTTCCTTTTATTTTCTCTTATCCGAGAAGAATATATTTATCATGTTGTCTTGCAATTAGAAATATTTTAGTTAATTATAGTTGTGTGAATTCCGATATAGAATTCTAGGTTTAAGCCTTCGACATGATATTCTTACAGGATAGAAAAGATAATCATTATTTTTTTTATCAGTTAAAAAGTTAAAGAAACGATTAAAAATTATCTCAAAACGCGAATGCAATATATTTTCTTCTTATACTTGCATATCAGATTACTTCTTCAGATACTTCTTCCTCTAGTAACAATCGTGTTTTCTGTTATCTGGATAAAAGTATGTAGATGATTCTAGATAAAATAATTGCTTCCTGAAAACTTTTTAATATAAAACTATGAGCATATTGTTAAAATCGTTATTCTCTTAGGATATCTAGATAAAACGCTTCTTTACTAATGTCACCTTTCACCCAGATGAATTTAAAGCAGAACCATCTTCGCATCTCTTACCCAAGATATATTTACATGTATTTAATCTCATCCTCATCTGGATGACTTCGAGATTATCCGAGCGAGGAACGCTGGTAACGACCATAAATACGCACGAGTGTAAATTAAACGAGCATTGTCCGCAAATGCTCGGCCGCGAATCTCAATATGAAAAGCGCAGATAACGCAACGATCTTCTGCACGATCGCTCGCGGGAGAGAATCGTCGTTGTTATACCTACCATCGCGCCGTGGGAGATCGTTACCCAAGTATAGAGAGCCTCTCTTCGCGAGAGGAGATGCGAAAGTGTATATAGCGCGGTAGTTTATTATATACTCTCTATAATGAAAAGAACGGAGAGAGAGAGAGAGACAGGGAAACGAGTATCACTTCCGAGTTGTCTTCTGCATATATACATATAGGCCGAGGACGCGCGGTTTCCAGCGGCGAGGCTCGCACGCCGTTTCTTGATGTTTAGGAGCCGATGCATGGCTAAACATTCATTTCCATATAAGCCGATATGTTTCAAATGTAAAGCGACATTTGCGCGCGCGCGCATCGGAGGAAGAAAGAACGGTGGAGCAGGAGGTGCGCGGGGGGAAGAAGGAGGGGAGGGAGGGGGGTGAAAAGAGGAGGAAGCCCGCGTGTGTGGAAGCGGCGAACTGGTACGAGCGGAAACTAGTTTAAGCCCGCGGGTTGTCTCTCAACCCTCTTCGAGACCGAGCCCCTCGACAATGCCCTCCATGGGATTCACCGTGCTCCCGATTCTACTTTAACTGGCTCCGGTCTATCACACATACACACAAACACACACACACACACACACACATATATATATATATATATATATATATATATATATATATATATATACACATACACACCGGTCTTCTCTTTCTCTCTCTTTTACGCCCGTAAGTAGCCCCCGCGAGTGTGAGAACCGATCGGATGCCTAAGCTCGTGAACCTTCAACTTTGCCGAAACGCGCGCCTCGGTTACCTTCAACCCCTTCGTGCTCTAAATTTAATCGAATACGATAATTGGAAATTTATTCGTGTTTTATTATTGTGCGTGAAGCTCTGAGAGACAAGCACTTGCGTCTTAGTAGGAAAATTTAATTGCTTTAATAAATTATAACAAAAAATAAATATATCGGTGTGTAACGATCACGTTCGCTTGAGACATGCTCTGACTCTCTTCTTTGCACACGTAATCAAGCAAATATTGAATTAATCAAATAAGGAAAATCGTATTAGAGCCGTTTTTTTCATTATTTTAGTTTTGACGTATTAATAAGAGTTTTTAAATATCTTATATTTAGCCTGTCTCGTAATAAAGTCAAACAAGAATTATCGTCCCAAATTAAGCATTCTTTTTTTATATCAAATCATTATTAGATTATATATCAAATACGTTATTATAATTTACTTATAGCAAATAACCCGTTCTTCTTCGATATTTCGATCCTTAAAAAATTCTCGCGTCAACTCGAGACAGTTCTCCGAAATTCGTGCGCTCGCCGGCCGCACTTGCGGCCTGTCGACACATGCGCATCGTCTTATTGACAACCGCACGTTACGATTCCTCATGTCGGCACGTGGTGCCAATCGTTCCACGTATCATTCGCGCATATGCCGGACGAAAGTCGTCTCGCGACCGCAAGACTCGCCGCGGATGGGGGCACGCTCGATGCTTTGCGGCGCACCCGCGTACAATGCAAACACGTGCAATGCGCATTATTCCGTGCGTGCGTGCGTCACTCCATTCACGGCGTCTCGGACAGAGGCCGGCCGAACGAGCGAGTCGACAGCTTGAAAATACTGACGAAACTATCAGTCAACACCGGACGGATTCATCATTTTATCTTCTCCGGCTTATCAAAATTATTTTGACCAGAATTACAGCATTTTTATCTTATTTTTATTGTTATTACAGCAAACATTGTAAATTTTTCCGGTGATTTATATAGGGTGTTCAAAAACCGTCAAACGTTCTTTCAATAAGATTCTCTAGTCTATTTGGAATCAATTTTTTTCTATCATATACCTTTGTAATAATTAAGCTTCAAATTCTTTTATAGAATAGATTTTTAATGAAATTATAACTGAAGAGTATAGTTTTGCTTTAATGTCAAGTTTAATCGAAGAGCCTTTCTTTTTCGATATTATTAATTCTTTAATCAATTAAAAAATTATATATATCTACTTTTGATATTAAAAAAACATCCGGTTATTTTGGAACATTCTGTATAGCGTTACAAAAAATTATACATAATATATATTTTAATTATCATTGTTTAAGTATAGAATAAAAGATTGTTGTGTCGAAATTGAAATTTACAATATTTTGAGAATAATTTTTATCGCGGAAAGCTCATGACTTATGACAAAAAAAAAATGCGAATGAAAGAATTTTCTTTATAATGAAATTTGCATCGTATTTTTGCTCATAATGTTAATTAATTCCATACATGTATGTGTGTCGATAATTCATCTTGAACAAGTGGCAAGTGCGCCATTCGTCCACCCCAGAGAACATTGCACCGAGCGCTTTAAAAGAGTCATTCGGGCATGTACCGGTCGTCACGTACGATTGAAAGCACGCTTGCGGCGCCGCTTGCATTTCCGCATAACATCGGACGGGGTGCGGACATGCGCGCGTGCGCACTCGACTGCACTTTTCTCATTTGCATGACAAGGCCGCGCTGCACCTCGCGACGTATGAGGTCGGCAGGTTGTACGATATATGTATATATATATATATATATAGGGGGGAGGGAGAAAAGAAGTAGCCGGGCCCCCTGCAGCCGGCGACCTGTGCAGTCCGGTAAGTCCCCGGATGCACTTTACTTATTGACTGTGCATTCGAAATGCAACTCTGTCGTTCGAAGAGAACAAACCTCTCTCCACCTTTTGCCCATAAATTCGATCGTGAACATGTTTGCAAAATAAAAAAGGTACAAAAAGGAGGAGGAGGAAGAGAAGTAGGGAATGTCGTTCTGAAGATTTTACGAAGGGCATCTCTCGCCCTCTTTACGATGCATCTCTTGGTCGATTTCTCTTTTTTTTTTTTTTTTGCTCTTTCACCCTTTCTTTCTCTCCTTATCCTCCCTCTCCCCCACCTCTCTATTTCTCTTCCTCTTTCTTGCGGAGTGAATCGTTGCACTCGGCGCGTGCCGACCTCGTGCCCTCTCCCGCCTGCTGTAACCCCCTCCCTCGCCTCGTGCATTTAATTCCGCCGCTTCTCTCTTCGTCCTTCTACACCCCTTTCGATTCACCCCACCTCCTCGCCGGCCAACTCTAAGTGCATCCTACGTGCACTT